TTTAAATTTCAAGTAGCTGAACATTATTTAATATTAACCCCCCCCTCCCCCCCACGTCCCCAACACCACCACGAGTCATATGCTAGATGTTAATTAGCCGTTGATTGACTTGTTATTATCACATGACGCTGGAGTACACAAAAAGAGGGGAACCCCCCGCCCAAAATGTATGGGTTGCTATTCATAGATTCCAGTCTGTGCCATGTACGTCATCATATTGGGCACCGTGTTTACCAAGGTTCATAACACGCAGGCACCGCTATGTTGCACGGTCCCCTGTATGTAAGACTGTCACATAAACCTCCATAATGCTGAGTACTGATAAGACTAGCACCCGAAATACATCTTGACGCTATCAATAAAATATGATACAATAGGAAGCCTTGAATATTTTCAACTTGAACTACCCATCAACACATTATTAATGTGTAAACTAAATCTAAACATAAACGAAGCGCATGTAATGATTAATGCTCCCCAAACATACGGTATTATATAACAGAAATGATTAACGTGTTTGTATTTTGTGACTTTTACGGTACTGATCTTTGGTACTAAAGTGACTAGTGTCTCACTGTTATCAGGCTAAATACAATAACAAGTTGACAGCCACAAAGCCACATAACATAAACATGACCAAACACTTTCCCAACCCTGATAATAGTAGAGGACTAATAGTTAACTTTAAACTTGATAAGATTAAAGCATTCCATTTAAGAATGACGTAAAAAAGGTGGGTTACTCCAGATTTTGGGTTTTAAAAAGATAAACAGCGATTACGAGAAATCATACGTCCTAAATGTAATCCACAATAGGGGATAATCGGGTCGCAACTGAGTCTACCCAGCTCTGATGGGTACCCGACTCACGTAATGGAAAGTAAAGGTCGCGTGGCGTAGTGCTGACCACACAATTCAAGCGTACTATGCCGAGGTCATAGAAACAGGGGAACTCTACTTCACCTGCCCCATGGACTTTTAGTTTCTAATATAGTTCTTTACTTATATTGTTACCTACCCTACACCATCAGCTTTTTTTTGCCCATGTCGGTGACCTCATACGGCGGTTGAAATGCAACACGATTAAAATAAAACCTCACAGACCGGCGCTCTGCTAACGGAAGAACGGGCAGACAGCGAGGAATGTAAACACAAGTTTTCCCGCGAGTCACGCAGGAAATCAGGGGGCCATCACCCGAACAATCTCAACTTTATTTTGAAATCTGCCGGCGTTTATTTGCTTGAGTGAATCACAAGCATCATTATGATTGGCAACCCGGGCCCAACATCTGCATACTTTCACGGTTATCTTTTTTTAATATAAAAGATATCAGAACTAATCAGAATATAAAAAGGCGCATTACTAAAACGCGCGGATGTTCAAATGTTATGAAAGCTAGCCGGCAAGCAATGATACACAGAACAAGAAATATAACTTTTGTTTATATTTGCCAAAAAAATAAAGAAGAAAACAATTTTTGTGGGAAAGCAGGTAAACTACAAGGCGCCAATCAATACGTTTAGCAAAGGGCAAAATCAACAGCAGACTGGATGATAGGAGTCAAAACAACATTACACCTCAACTTCAAAACTCCGCGCGCTCGTAGACAACAAAGACGTGACCAGGTAATGATGAAAGCCCCAGGTAAATGATAACTAATCGCAAGTGAGGTGGGGGTGGGGTGTGGGTGGAGAGGGGCATTGGAATGATTTTCACCTTCAGAGCGGTTCGGCATCTACATCAACAAACGGAGTGAAATAAATCTAAACGTCTGGCCGGGCGATGGATTACAGCACCACAACCTTATCTTCCTGCATGAAATTTTATTTCATCTCCCCCCCCCCCCCCCCCGCCGTGTGTCTCAATACTTCCCACAAGTCTGATCTCACACCAGCAACCCGCTTCTAGGATTCGAAACGACGCAATCAAATGTGGATCATAACAGGAGGGAGATGAAAAGGGAATGAAACACAAGCCAGACGCGTGGAAAGCTAGCCGGAAGTAGGTCTTTATCTCCGGTGATAGCCGGCTGATGTATTGACGGCTCGCTGTGCTGATGTTGTACACAGCAAACACGGCGGCGACCAACTTCATTATCAGATTATTTTATTTCAACATCACCCCAACTGTTAATATTATTGTTTCGACAACTATTAAAATAAACAACCTGTTTTTTGTTTTGCTTTAACCTTCCCTCAAGCTTTTGATTGAGGTACAATAAGAAAACAATAATTTCTTAAAGTACTAGTAAAGACTTACTCAGGCCCTTCAGTTCGAAAACAATTTCTTAATGCGCCAGTAAAGACATAGCTTGGCATGAACCATCAGGAAATATAGCATTCTAGCATCGGCCACTTAATTTTTAATTAAACTAATTAATCTCTCCACAATGACGTGGAGGGGCGATAACTAGATAATGTGTAGATAAACGAAGACACGGGCAGCGAGATGGAGAAACTCAAGGCACCACGCTCGTGACAGTTACTGCCAACGTACGGGTGATATCCCTTTCAATCTGTTTCACTGACTTATTTCCCTCATCTTCCCCGGGCGTTTTCAACAAATTCAGGAAGTTTTCAATTGACTTCCCACTGTGCTAGTCGTTTACGTTACCCGCTGTGTTCCACATAGGCATGGATGGGATACTGCAGCATCAACGCCGCCCAGCCGGGCCAGAAGGTTGTATTGTTGTATACAGTTCAAGTGGAGGCTGTTTGTATCAACAACAAACACGACGGCCGCGAAATTCATGGACATGGGCAGGCACAACATACAATGACGAGAGCTTGCATGCTGTAACTGAGAGTAAAAGGTATCGTAGATTTATTGGCCAAGTGGGTACACAGTTCACATGCGCACACTTTTGTGCGGTCAAAACAAATAATTTATTTCGTTTATATATGGCACAACTTATATTCAAACACGTGTATTAAAACTGACATTGATTAGTTATAAACTGCGGTTGTAATTTACGCGAAGCCGGCCAGTATATCAGTGACGTAATCAGAGCCAACCCTGGCACTTTGTGGCGGGTGTAGAACATAAATCTGGCTGGCTGCACCTTTGTTCCACATCTGATAACACCAAGGCCATGACGTCACAGGGCACCTCACTCATTTCTGTTGTGACTTGGACAACAATAGATCACTCATGCAACACTTCAAACTTACGGATCAGTATCAACACCCCCCCCCCCCTCCCCCATCCACACACATCTTGGAACCTGCATAAGAAAACCCATATCACCAAAGCAAAAAGCACTGGCAAGGAGAGAAAAAAAAAGATGAAATAGAAACTACTTGAACTTCTCCCATCTGCCAATGTAAGGGGATATGCTTTCATAGGTGTAGCACTGCGGGGTAAGGTGCAATGCCAACACACGGGCTAATAGATGGGCTGAGTCACGTAACTATTATAAGCTCCCCACCCCCAAGGGCTGATGATACAGGTATCGCCCAACAGAAGGGCTAATGGATGGGCGTCACGTAACTACAGTAGTACAGCGCATAGACTCCCCACCACAAGGGCTGATGATACAGGTATCGCCCAACAGAAGGGCTAATGGATGGGCGTCACGTAACTACAGTCGTACAGCCCATAGACTCCCCACCACAAGGGCTGATGATACAGGTATCGCCCAACAGAAGGGCTAATGGATGGGCGTCACGTAACTACAGTCGTACAGCCCATAGACTCCCCACCACAAGGGCTGATGATACAGGTATCGCCCAACAGAAGGGCTAATGGATGGGCGTCATGTAACTACAGTAGTACAGCGCATAGACTCCCCACCACAAGGGCTAATGAATGGACTGAGTCATGTAACTACAGTCGTACAGCCCATAGACTCCCCACCCCACGGGCTGATGGGCTATGTAGCTACAGTCGTACAGACCAATGTCAATATTGTTACTATACTTGCAAACACGGAAGTTCCCTCTGTTCCATATAGTCACATTATTCCCACATTTATGGGTCGTAGATATAGACATTGAGGACCCAACACTGGATGATATTAGCACCAAAAATAAGGTGATATTAGCATCGTACTTAGGACGGTATTAGCATCCAACTCTGGATTATAGCACCCAACTCAGATGGTACCCAGGTATTAGCACCAACACGATGGCCTCAAACATCATGTGGTGAACCAACTATAACTTACAACTACAACAGAGACCAGCACCACTGCTAAATTTCAGAGTACAATTTAAACATTTCATTGTTAAAAGTTATTCGTTTCTTTAGCCCACCCATTACATTCTCAGATGTTTACATTTTGTTCTCAATAAAAAAAAAATTGACCAAAACGGAAGTAGAATTTTTAGTCCAGCTCATATTTCCAACTGACACATTGAAAATGAAAACATTTTTTTTTTTTAAATTGGGGATTGGGCAGGAAAGTTGGTTTATAGTGGGCTTTCTACATAGTAATTTAAATCTATAATGTAGCAACAACTAACAGAAAAAAAAGAAAAAAAAAGAAATGATATTTTTGAAAAAGCGGATAGAACAAAATATCGCAGCAGCTAAACAATTAGGCATACACAGGTTTAAAACAACAGCAGACAGTGATGACAATAATACACAAGATAGAGCTTTACATAATACAAGGAAGGGGAAGATTGGTGTGGGGGTGGGGGTAGTGGTGTGGGGGTGGGGTAGTGGGGGGGGTTGTTTCTTCAATATTAATGTGCATCTTGTTGATGCAGAAACTGGCACAAATTTAATATGTAGTCTGTTTATATATACATATATATTTATAAATACAGATGTCTGGGTGTATATATATTTATAAATACATATGCCTGGGTGTAAGTGTATGCAAGTGAGTGTGTGTGCATGTGTTTCTATATATACCTTTGTAATCTATCTTCAAAATGTATTAATGTAAAGGTTTTTAATTCTTGTGAAGGTAAGATAAGGTACTCTCTATATCTGAACATGGGAAGGAAGTGTTTTTGGGGATCTTTTGGACAGATAATTAAAGACTAAAGTACCTTTTTCCTTTCAGAAGGAGACTGAAACACAAGAAATGCATCACAGCTAGACACAGGTCTTATCAACAACTGCAAGCCATGAGAGAATGATAATGAGGCAAAAAGAGAGAGTGAGAGAGATGTTAGATCAGGTGAAAAATGCAACCTAAAAAAAATAAAAAATAACCCCCAGGTGATATATTAGTGACTGGTAGTAAACTACTAGATGCAGACAACATGGACAGTAAATACAGGTGTGGTGGATTATAGGACAGGTGTGGAAATGATCACATGGTATTAATGATATGGTTCACTAGTTATAAACTGTTCAGTACAACAAGTAATATAAATACAAACTAATTTTTTATATATTTTGTTTGAAAATTATAATGAACAATATATTGCTGATACGTTAATTTTTTTAGAAATGTTAATAGTTTGTATAAGTTCGTTAAAAAAAAAATGATTTTTGACTCTCATCTCCCTACCTCCCCTACAACCAAAGAAAAAAGAAATAGCATGAAACAAGGTACAGCCAAACAAAAACACCTACCCTACAAGGGGGGACTACTCTTACCTGGAAGTGGAGGATTATAGTCCAGATCAGACCTAATGTCAGCTTGGGGTTGCCGTCTACTATTTCATCTGATCGAATATTTACAATTCTGATCTGAAATATTAATACGATTTTTAAATTAAAAATTGCCGACAGATTATAAAGTTAACTCATGTTTTGCAACATAACATTCATATTAATAAAAGATTAGAAAAGACTTTCAAGTGAACAAGAAAAAGTTAATTTTAAAATTTAAATTTTGGTAAAAATAAAATTGAAGCTAGATTTGCTTCTCAAAATGAATTTATAAATAGGTTTGATGCAATTTCTCAAAATTTACAAAATTTATGACACCACCTTGACAAAAACTTTGTATCACCAAACTGATGTCTTAACTTCAGTTGTTTTGAGGTATCATTTTACCAATAAAAAATAAACACAGGGTTTATCTGCTAATGCTTACTATAACTTGAAATCTCATACCCCACCTTTCTCACAGATTGGAGACAATGAACATTTTGTAGTCTCATGATATAATAACACATCACATGTATTTAGTGATCATTAAATAAAAAATTAATATAGTTGTCAATTTCAAAGTCAAAAAAATATTTATCACAATTTTTTTTTTATAAAACAAAATAGTTGCTACAACAAATTTTCTTCTAATGACAAACAAAACATGGTGTAACAAAAATGCTTATCTGTTATTAAAAAACAGTAGGCCTATTCTGTTTGTAGATCCAAATAAATAATTGTTTATTCCGTGAGAGGTAAAAAACGAAACCAAGGGAGATAACTGGAGAAGACAAGTAATTTTAAGAGACACGAGTACCTACCCCTTTCATGCGCAGAAAATCTAATGCTATCTGTACATTCTGTATCTTGTGGAACCTCATGTGACCTCGCTCACGGGGCTGTGGAGTAGTGAAGGGTTCTGTTAGATCTAGACCTGTAGGCTGTTGTTAACACGTACAACGTCATTGGTAGACTGACACACCAGGGGACGGTGACATAAACATTACGTCATCATAGTGACCACGAAGGGACAGCGGGAACATAGTGACGTAACAGTGACCGAGAAATTACGGTGACATAGTGACCACAAGGGGACAGCGGGAACACAGTGACCACAAAAAGACAGTAGGAACATAGTGACCTAACAGTGACCCAGCCATTACGACAACATATTGACCACAAGCCCAGCTTACTGACCAGTATATCGTGAGCCAGGACTTCCAATAGAGAGATAAGGTTGTGTCCATCCCTGAGATCATCATAGAGGTCAAGAATTCGTCGACCAGCCTGAAGAATTAAAAATTAATTAAATTAAATTTGGGTTATAAAAAAATAATTAACAGAAACACCATTAAACTAACATATAAGTGGCATTACACTGTTGTGGTTATGTCTAAATGCATTTATTTGTGCTATGTAAATTGAATAAAACTAAGGGAAAATATGTAATCGACATTAAATATTATAAAAAATAAATAAAAAATAAAGCACTTAAATAAACCTGTAATTAAAGTATGTGCATAACATTTTTGTAAAACTAGTTTACCACACTGGTTTCTTTACTCCTAATATAATGTTTATAGGGAAAGCATTCTCAAAGATTAGTAAACTATAAAATAGGCTAACGCGAATTTTAAAATCAGATTAGCTATCATGCAGGTTTAATTAAAAACCGGCTTAATCCTCAGCATGAAACAAGTTAGTGTAGATCACATCCATGCGTCGTACCAAGCAATAAAACAGACGGCTTAAGGTGTGAACCAGCTAGAGATAAAGACCAGATAGCTTATACTTGACCTCTGGTCATTTATTTACAAACTATCTTCATGTCAAGCAGACTACAAAAACCTTTCACGCGTTATGGTAAAGTCTTGCTGATTAGTTCACGTGCAAAGGTTAAGATTTTTTTATTTTTTTGTTTATAGTTTTTTTTTTATCTATTTTTTTTTCTTTTTTTTTGTAATGTGATGTAACGCTACAAAAGTTTTATTTCTAACAATAATAAAAGCCCATTAAAAACATCAAGCAAAAAGTTGTGATAATCATGAGTTTTCAATGATAGTTGCAGAACATCTTGCAGAATTAATTACATGTTTCAATATACATTTCCTCATTAAAATAGATTAATTAAATCAGTGATTTACAAAGCCGTTCCACCCCACCCTTCCCTGCTGGTGTATAAGATGACTAACCATGTCAACTTTATTAGATCAAGTCAAACCAGCCATGGTTACAACATGCGAGTTAGTACATGATAAAAAAACCGTTCAACAGATTTACACCGATGTTACAAGTGCTTTACACTACGATACCACAACATAAAGACACGTTAGGGGAATTCGAAAAGTGCATCTAATGCAGAAGAAAGCATACAAAATAGTTAGAAAGGTAAAAACGAAACAACGTTCTGAACTAACTATGAGCTACTATTTCAAACATATAAAGAAAGTATAGTATGGGGAAATAAATTTGCATCTCTAAGTACAATAGTATCTGAACTTTATTTTGCAATATAATTTACATTCAATAATAACCATCTTTAAGAAAATAAATCATACACAAGAGTTAGAAAGGCAAAAACAAAACAACGTTCGGATCAAACTATGAGCTACTATTTCAAACTTTAAAGATATGCATATTTTCTAACATTGGGTAACAAACTACAACAGGATTTCAACGTCAGTTTACTATAGAATTTAGAATCGATAATAATCATCTGTTATTTGATAAGAAAACACGTTTCATGCCCACTAACTATTTTACTATGACAGAATAGAGAGAGATTTAATAACACATAAAGCGTGCGGTCAGTAAATTATGTGCACACAACATATTGATCTCTTCTTCTTCACTAGTTGTTGGCTGGCGTACAAAGCTGCCTGCCCGTGTGTTTATTCCCTACACATCATCAAAAACACCCTACACATCAGCTGATGAACGCATATCAACGAAGGCACACTCTATATTAGCTAATGAGATAGAAGGGGAGACAACAATGAAAAAGAAAAACACAAGCACGATGCAGATTGTTGCGAACAAACCTGTGTGAACCTCCAATGCTGCGTGTAATCAATAGGAAATGGACACCACTAGAGAAAAATGTGAGAAAACATCACACTAACAACTCGTTCAAATACACTATCAATTACAGGTATCCTTCATACACGACCGACCATACTATATTCTTAATTAAATGATGTTCTTTTTTTTTTTTAATAGATAAAACATTTCCTAAAAATATTCTCCTAAATACCTTCAGTGATGGTTCGTAAACATCTTTAACATTTTTTAATACACATATATTACTTCGCGGGATAACATATATTTGGGGGACAAGTTTTCACTAAATGCATGCTTGCATTTATACAACAAACATCTCGACTCGAGTGACTCGACACACATGTTATAGTGCTATTCAATCAATGAACATTCCCCCCACCCAAAATTCGTCCACTACAAGTTGACACGATGTACCTTTAAAAAAACCAACGACAGCCCAACTCGGCTAAAACAGCCCTCCCCAACTCAACCCGCCAACATTTATTTTGGTAGGAAAAGCCTGACACCTTCCAACATTTTATGCAAACAAGCAGGCCCCAATTAGTTAAAGGTTACGACACTTCCTTTGTTGGAAGGAATTTTTTTCTCTCTCTCGCCCGAGCCTCGTCAAGTTTAAATAATGGCCAGATTTAACGAGACATTTTCCTGCCCCAGGCCGGGACGTGACGTTACACATTCCTGACTTACGCCATACCCCCCCCCCCCTGCCACCCCACCACCCCCGGGATCTGTTACAACAGTGAATTGTATGAAAGCTCGACCTATTGCTCATAGGATAGGAGGATCATTACTCGGCGGATCTTTCAGTCAATGAGTTAGTCATTCTAGATGCCTTTGTTTTAGTCGTCAAACTGTGTGTGGGGGTGGTGGGGTATAATGGTGTGGGACAAAGGTGTGCGTGTGTCGATATAATAGGGAAAAGGGCAGTTACAGTGGGAGTGCCTGCAGAGTGGGAGTGGGAGTGTGAGGGGGATGGTGTGGAGGGCTTACTGCAGTATCAGTCGTGTCGGGGAGGGGGGGGGGGGTGTTTGTTGCAATGTGAGTGGATGAGTTGGAGTAGCTGTAGTGGGAGAGAGTGGAGGGCAGGTCTAGAATGGGACGATCAGGTAAGATTGCATGACTGGGGGGAGTGGGAAAGTGTGGAGGGTTTGCTGAAGTGTGAGGGTGTTGAGGTAAATCTGGAGTGGTAAGATGTGCGTGTGTGGGAGGAGTGGGAATGTGAGGAGGGTTTGCGAGGGTGTTAATGTAACTCTAGAGTGTGACAAACAGGGTAAGCGTGGGAGTGAGACATTAGTGCACATTAGTAAAATGACAATGACAGGCGGTTTGTTGACATCGATTCCGTTTTCTCAATCATTGTTAGCAGGTTCACGTGACGGGCGGGGTCGGGGAAGGTTGGATAAATTGACGTGTGAAACGCTCAGGACTGATCGCTATACTTATAATTATTGCCATGATATTCTCCGACAGGATGTGACGTGGAGGGGCCAAAGGTTAATGGTGAAATGTGAATCCTGGTTTACATGGCACGTGTTAAATATTTTTCACTGTCTGGAATATGAGGGGGAGGGGGTTAAGTGCAGAGACAGACAAGGTACTAAATAAATAGGGTACTGGCAAAGCCTAAAGATGTGTATTGGAAGAGCTACAAATAATACATGGTAGATCACTAATTAGCATGAATTATATGCTTTAATTAACTTTATACATTTTATACAGGTTAAAATTTCAGCTAAAATTTGAAACAAGAGTGCAGTCCATTGAGAAAAATAAACATGACTAATATCATAAACATAGTCCTATAGGCCCACATTAAAAAAAAAAAAGAAATTGATGAGACAGGAATCAGCGAAGAAAATATTTACAATAAAAAAAAATTAATACGGAATGAGATATTGGGCGTTGGGAATTCATTCAAGGCGTGGATAAAATTGTTTTACGAGGAACCGATGTTATTGTGTTTGTGTGTGTGTCTCAATGTGTATGTTTGTGTATGTGAGTGAGTGTGTGTAAGTGAGTGACTGGGTATGTGTATGTGTGTATAACTGAGTCCGTGTGTGTGTGAGTGAGTGTGTGTGTGTGTGAGTGTATGTGTGTGTATAACTGTGTCCGTGTGTGTCTGTGTGTAATGCATGAAGCATAGGAGTGAGCACCGGCAACGACAACACCCCCCACCAGATGTTACAGTCAGGTTAATATACTTCCACGTGCATTCGAGAAGGTTTTTTTTTTTACCCCGACCCTCCCCCGCTGAAATAAACAGAAGGTCGACCGATAAAGTAAAAAAAATGAAGACTCCGATAAGCAAGAGATAAAGGTGAGCTCGCATCATCTTTTTGACTCTCTTTGTTCCTCGGTTATGTCGGTGCGAGAGAACGGTAAAGGTGCAAGGGCGAGATCTTGCTAGACCCGTCTCTATAGCTGTAACCAGCAGCTAGAGAACGGTAAAGGTGCAAGGACGAGATCTTGCAAGGCTAGACCCGTCTCTATAGCTGTAACCAGCAGTTAGAGAACGGTAAAGGTGCAAGGACGAGATCTTGCAAGGCTAGACCCGTCTCTATAGCTGTAACCAGCAGTTAGAGAACGGTAAAGGTGCAAGGACGAGATCTTGCTAGACCCGTCTCTATAGCTGTAACCAGCAGCTAGAGAACGGTAAAGGTGCAAGGACGAGATCTTGCAAGGCTAGACCCGTCTCTATAGCTGTAACCAGCAGTTAGAGAACGGTAAAGGTGCAAGGACGAGATCTTGCTAGACCCGTCTCTATAGCTGTAACTAGCAGCTAGAGAACGGTAAAGGTGCAAGGACGAGATCTTGCTAGACCCGTCTCTATAGCTGTAACCAGCAGCTAGAGAACGGTAAAGGTGCAAGGACGAGATCTTGCTAGACCCGTCTCTATAGCTGTAACTAGCAGCTAGAGAACGGTAAAGGTGCAAGGACGAGATCTTGCTAGACCCGTCTCTATAGCTGTAACCAGCAGTTAGAGAACGGTAAAGGTGCAAGGACGAGATCTTGCCCGGATAGTAGACCCGTCTCTATAGCTGTAACTAGCAGCTAGAGAACGGTAAAGGTGCAAGGACGAGATCTTGCTAGACCCGTCTCTATAGCTGTAACTAGCAGCTAGAGAACGGTAAAGGTGCAAGGACGAGATCTTGCTAGACCCGTCTCTATAGCTGTAACTAGCAACTAGAGAACGGTAAAGGTGCAAGGACGAGATCTTGCAATGCTAGTAGACCCGTCTCTACAGCTGTAACCAGCAGCTAGAGAACGGTAAAGGTGCAAGGACGAGATCTTGCTAGACCCGTCTCTATAGCTGTAACTAGCAGCTAGAGAACGGTAAAGGCGCAAGGACGAGATCTTGCAATGCTAGTAGACCCGTCTCTATAGCTATAACCAGCAGCTAGAGAACGGTAAAGGTGCAAGGACGAGATCTTGCTAGACCCGTCTCTATAGCTGTAACTAGCAGCTAGAGAACGGTAAAGGTGCAAGGACGAGATCTTGCTAGACCCGTCTCTATAGCTGTAACTAGCAGCTAGAGAACGGTAAAGGTGCAAGGACGAGATCTTGCTAGACCCGTCTCTATAGCTGTAACTAGCAGCTAGAGAACGGTAAAGGTGCAAGGACGAGATCTTGCTAGACCCGTCTCTATAGCTGTAACTAGCAGCTAGAGAACGGTAAAGGTGCAAGGACGAGATCTTGCTAGACCCGTCTCTATAGCTGTAACTAGCAGCTAGAGAACGGTAAAGGTGCAAGGACGAGATCTTGCTAGACCCGTCTCTATAGCTGTAACTAGCAGCTAGAGAACGGTAAAGGTGCAAGGACGAGATCTTGCTAGACCCGTCTCTATAGCTGTAACTAGCAGCTAGAGAACGGTAAAGGTGCAAGGACGAGATCTTGCTAGACCCGTCTCTATAGCTGTAACTAGCAGCTAGAGAACGGTAAAGGTGCAAGGACGAGATCTTGCTAGACCCGTCTCTATAGCTGTAACTAGCAGCTAGAGAACGGTAAAGGTGCAAGGACGAGATCTTGCTAGACCCGTCTCTATAGCTGTAAACAGCAGCTAGAGAACGGTAAAGGTGCAAGGACGAGATCTTGCAAGGCTAGTAGACCCGTCTCTATAGCTGTAACCAGCAGCTAGAGAACGGTAAAGGTGCAAGGACGAGATCTTGCTAGACCCGTCTCTATAGCTGTAAACAGCAGCTAGAGAACGGTAAAGGTGCAAGGACGAGATCTTGCTAGACCCGTCTCTATAGCTGTAACCAGCAGCTAGAGAACGGTAAAGGTGCAAGGACGAGATCTTGCAAGGCTAGTCGCACGGTACAGCTATAACCAGCAGCTAGAGAACGGTAAAGGTGCAAGGACGAGATCTTGCAAGGCTAGTCGCACGGTACAGCTATAACCAGCAGCTAGAGAACGGTAAAGGTGCAAGGACGAGATCTTGCAAGGCTAGTCGCACGGTACAGCTATAACCAGCAGCTAGAGAACGGTAAAGGTGCAAGGACGAGATCTTGCCCGGCTAGACCCGTCTCTACAACTATAGCCAGCAGCTAGAGAACGGTAAAGGTGCAAGGACGAGATCTTGCCCGGCTAGACCCGTCTCTACAACTATAGCCAGCAGCTAGAGAACGGTAAAGGTGCAAGGACGAGATCTTGCCCGGCTAGACCCGTCTCTACAACTATAGCCAGCAGCTAGAGAACGGTAAAGGTGCAAGGACGAGATCTTGCAAGGCTAGTCGACCCATCTCATAGTACAGCTATAACCAGCGTTCATATTTAATAACTGATATTTAAACGCACAGACACACCCCTGGTTTTAGTGAGAGATATGGCTGAACTAATCTAAATGCTTTAAAGATATGATAATCCTTTATACAGAATGAATAAACTAGACATTAAAGATATGGCTGTCCGTTGAACATAAGTAAACTAGTCTAAATACTGTAAATGTATAGTCTTCCGTTGTATATTAAGTAAACTAGTCTAAATGCTGTAAATGTATAGTCTTCCGTTTTACATGAGTAAACTAGTCTAA